TCCAGGTGGTAAGAATACACAAGAGGACCACGGTGCGAATGATAGAAAATATTAACGCTAAAGCATAGGGACTGGAATGCTAAAGTAGGAAGTCAAAAGGTAACCGGAATAACAGACAAGTTTGGCCTTGGAAAGCATAATGAAGCAGGGCAAAGGTTAACAGAGTTTTGTCAAGAGAACACACTGGTCATAGCGAAAAAGATTTCCTTGGGAGGAAAGTGATGGCGAACCTAAACAGCATGATAAAAAGTAGAGACATCACCCTGCCAACAAAAGTCCGCATGGTCAAAGCAATGGTATTCCCAGTAGTCATGTATGGCTGCGAGAGTTGGACTATAAGGAAGGCCGAGCGCCGAAGAATAGATTCTTTTGAACTATGGTGCTGGAGAAGACTCTTGAGAGTCCCTTGGACTGCAAGAAGATCAAATCAGTCAATCCTAAAAGAAATCAACCCTGACTGTTCCCTGGAAGGCCAGATAATGAAACTGAAGCTCAAATACTTTGGCCACCAAATGAGAAGGGAGCACTCACTGGAGAAGACCCGGATGCTGGGAAAGATTGAATGTCCAGTCCTGGAGTGCAATTAGGTCAAAGAAGATGGGGATGGCAAAGGATGAGATGGTTAGACAGTGTCATAGATGCAACGAACATGAAATTGAGCCAACTTCAGAGGACGGCGGAAGACAGGAGGGCCTGGCGGGAGCTGGTCCATGGGGTCGCGAAGAGTCGGACTCGACTGTGCGACTGAACAACAAAACCGTGTAATGAACAATAATATAATCTTAAATCAACTCAATTTTTTTGGTTTTTTTCTTCCAATATATCAGTATTTATAATGCTAATTTATTATTACACAATCACAATAATTGCAATGTAAATTAAATGCAAGACATTCAAGAACTTTTCTCCCCAAAAGTACAACGTTTGCCCCATAGGGTTATAAATTGAAAGTCTAGACAAAATGAAGATGCAGGAAATTAGTAAGATAACGAGAGCCGGTGTTGACTCGTTTCTGCTGTCGCCTTCCTCAGGTCTCACAGAATACAAGAAATATATGATTCTAATGTTTTTTCCAATCTGTTATGTATTGTAAGCTTCAGTATAGTAATCAAATAATGCTCTTAGAAAATAGAGGGAATCGCCAATCAAATTTTCAAAAATGTGGCACTCAGCCTAACAAGATTCACAGCTGGCAGGGATTCTTTATAAATATCAATATATTGGGGGGAAAACAATTTTTTTAGTTGATTTAAGATTATATTATTATTCATTACACGGTGCTTTAGTGTTAATACCCTCCAGGTGGTGGCTGTAGATTTCCTGGAATTACAACTGATCTCCAGGCGACAGAGGTCAGTTCACCCAGAGAAAACGGCCACTTTGGAAAGTGGACTCTGTGGCCTTATACCCCATTGGAGCCTTTCCCCTTCCCAAATCCCGCCCTCTTCAGGCTCCACCCCTCAAATTTCCAGGTAGTTCCCAATCCGGAGCTGGCAGCCCTACATATTCAGGACATTAAAATCCAAAGGGATTCACAACATTATTTACTTCATTTGCAGCCTACTTTTCTCCCCACTGGGGATGTGAAATGGCTTACAACATCCTTTTCTTCCCCATTTTAACCTCACAACCTGCCTGTGAGGGAGTTCAGGCTGAAAGTGTGTGACTGGCCTTAGATTACCCAGCAAGCTTCCACGGCAGAGGAGGGATTCAAACCTGGCTCTCCTGTATCGTAGCCTAGCCCTCGGGGCACTACAGTAACTCTCAGTGTATGAAGACATCGTTTCACTTATACATACCTTGGGGGGGGGGTTAAGTCATAGTTTGATTAAAGTTTGGTAGAACTATCTGGTGCCAAATAAACTATTTCAGGAGCCAGATCCAATCTGTATCCTTTCAGTTGACCATTCCTGCAGTAGACAATGAAGCATCAGAGTATTCTGCTGCCAGTAACAATGAAATAAACTTTCATAAGTCATAGTTTGATTAAAGTTTGGTAGAACTATCTGGTGCCAAATAAACTATTTCAGGAGCCAGATCCAATCTGTATCCTTTCAGTTGACCATTCCTGCAGTAGACAATGAAGCATCAGAGTATTCTGCTGCCAGTAACAATGAAACAAACTTTCATAAGTCATAGACAAGTGGGAAATCTGAAAGTAGATTAAATGTATTGTGTTATTTCAGGAGCCAGATCCAATCTGTATCCTTTCAGTTGACCATTCCTGCAATAGACAATGAAGCATCAGAGTATTCTGCTGCCAGTAACAATGAAACAAACTTCAATGTTAACATGACAAGTGGGAAATCTGAAAGTAGATTAAATGTATTGCAGTTGTGTAGTATTGAAGAAATGACATAGGGCTGTCCCTTACAGCACTCTCATCTAGTAATAACTTGAGAAGATGTTACTGAGAACATTTCAGCTAACATCACTGCTCAGCACGTCATGCCAAAATCAAAACTATTATGTCCAAGTGGTGAGAAAAATAATCATACTTGAAGGTCAGATATTCTGATTATATAGAATGATTTTGTGTTTCGATTATGTCCGTAAGGAGTTCTGTGAGTTGAACGTTTGAGAGTGAAACGGTTGTACCAAGGGAGGATATGTGCAAATCCCTCTAAAGTAATACTGAATAGATTGTTGTGTTTTATATTATAAGTGTAAACTTAGCAATAAAATGCCATCCAGCAGATTGGAAACTCTTTCTTCTCTCCCCTACACATGAGAATGAGAGGGGATTTAGTGGCAAATTCAAAATGCGAGTGCTGCTTTGCAGAATGTGTAACTGAATCTCTGCAAGAAAGGCAGAGTATAAATGAAAGTAAGCAAGGATGAGTTGAGCTCACCGTAGCTCCCAGCATCTGAGACTTGACAAGCTGAGATTTGTGGGGGGGGGGGGGAGAGCGGGTAGCAGGAACATTCATAGCTGTAATGTAATAAGGACAGATTACTTGGTTGTTCGGTTTCCAGTCTTGTCTCCAAATACTAGTGGTTACAGTAAGATTTTTACAGGGCAGGATTTCATACAGTCAGATTATGTCAGTAGTGTACTTTCTGAAGCCAAGACCCCTGATGAACCATAGATATCCAGCCTGGCTGTTTCTGTGCCCTGGCCTGGGGTTAAGGTAGTAGTGAGGGAAGAAGTAGGCTGATTTGTTTTATTAAACCAAGTTTCTCCCATTTTAAACCTGTTAAAAGACATCTGTTTTTTAAAGTCTGCCTTACGCCAGCGCCTGTATCTGTTTTTAGATGATTTCAGTGTTCTTTGTTTTTGTTTTTAATTTTTCTCTAATGAAGACTCCTTCCAGCTTCAGAGAAAAGCGGACCTCACTGGTGATATGAAGTGATCTGATACCAAACCTAAATGTGATTTTCCTCCCCTCCCTTGCCCCCAAGTTGGCTGCCTGCTAAGGGACTCTGTGACCTTCTGTGATAATGAAATCTCCAGATGGTGCCAGAACATCCGGCCCTGAGTATTGTGGGGGCAGCACAAGAAGCCTTGTTTATTTGCTAGGGGAGAAGAGAGGCTGGAGAAAACCAAGCAGCTGAGCAGATGGTTGTACAAACAGATCTTGGCCAGCACCAAAGTATCTTCTTTCCTGCATGCTTAGGTGTCTCCTTTCTTAAACCATGAGATCTTCTGCATCTCCTTGCCCTTGTCTATTCTGAGCAGTACTTTGTTTCCACTTAAAAATCCAGAGTAGAACATGAAGAGATTACTTTGTTTCTTAATTACGTGAGGTGCTTAACAAATGACTTGGTAAGATTCTGGATAGCATGTATGAGGACAGACAAGAATACAGGAAGTGAAGTGCGTCTGTCTTTGGATGGAGTGCATGTAACATCAGAGGGAGTTGAAAGGTTAACAGAAAATAGGATTTCTCAGAGGCTTATATGCTGTGGGCAGGAGCAGAGGTGGCTGGTATTGTATGGACAGAGTCCAGTATCACAAGCTGAATATGAAAGTGCATGGTAATAGGATGAAAGCACTGTAAAACCGCAAAGTGAATCTGATTGGCAGTTTATATATTCCAGTGGTTTTCCAGTTTCCCCTCTCACAGAAAACCCTTTCCACGTTTGTCACATCTGCTATAGAGCTTTTATGTGTGGCAGGGGATTCTGAGATATATGCAGTTAACATAACTGTGTTTTCCTTTCCGAATACTGAGGTAAGCAGAAATCCCCTATAGTTACTGCCAATCTTACTAACTAAACAGGGGCAGGAAGGTTTCTCTTCCACCCCCAAATATTATAATCAACCCAGTCTTAAATATGAACAAAGCCCATTCATGAAGAAAAATCACATTTAAATTTCTCATCTCTGCTTTTCAGTATCCCATCCCTGACTGTGATAGCTTCTTCTGCCCAGAGGAAATGGAGACAAAAAGAACTCTGACTTATACCGGTGGGGGTGTGTGTGTGTGTCAGCCTTGGAAAGCACAACTAGGGCATTGGGGAGGAAATCTTGTGCATTATCTTTCATAAATTATCCAAATCTAGTGAAGTTTTTTGTTGTTGTTGTTCTTGCAACCCTTTCAGGAAAACTATTCCAGATTTTTGTTACCTCATTACACATTAACATTTGTAAAGATGTTTGGAGCTCAGAACTTGGGCCTTCTAGTTTGAGGTACCACTGTAAGGCTTTCAAGAATACCAAGGTTGATCGGTGAATCCTGGAGAAAGAATGGAAATGTAAAGGCCAAGAAAATTATCCAATAGGATAGAGGAGTGATAGCACGGGATGCAAGCCAAAGCAAGCAGAGCTTCTTCAGCATACAAGTAATAAGAGCGAAGAACAAACAACTTTGGAATGGCTGGCAGTATTAGCGGAGAGGAGAGGGAGCCTATTGCTACTAGTAGACAAACATTGTTCAGATTTTTTTTCCTATCCAAAGAACGTTCCATATAATAATCCAAAACTTGCTAGGAATTTGAAATTCAAGCTTAATTTGGATCGTAGTGATTGATGGCAGGGTTCTCATTGCTTCCCACAGCCCGTCCCCAGAGGAAGGCATGGGAGATGAATTTGACCTGATGGATCACTCAGACTTGTACATCTTGGACTTCAGTACGTGAGCATTTCCTCCTCATTTCTTCTTTCAGTAGCTATTTTATCTAGGTTTGGTCTCCTCTTTTTGTTTTAATGTGGCTGAAACAGCTACAGCCTTACTGTCCCTTTGTGCCAGTGAATACGTTTTCTACAGCATTTCATTCACCTTATCTTCAATTATTTCTGTGGAACTTTCCCCCAAAAGGACAGTTTTTATCATGTAGTATGCTTCTCTTTCTTCAGGTCCCAACTTAAAAACACTGTGTAAACTAGCAGTGATCCAGTACAACCTGGACCAGTCCTGCCTCCCTCACGACATTAGGTAAGCTACATGTGCGCATGTCATGCATGTACTGTCTCTGACCACTGAGCCCCGGACTAGAGGAGGTGGCTCAAGAGACTTTATTGTTACACAGCTTACTATTGTGAATCTGATTGGAAAGCCAACCATGGACAAAAAAGAAAAGAAAAGAATGATTTTTGGAGATCCTGCCTTTTAGGCATGTCTCCACAGTAGAAATTGGGAAAGCTTGAGCAGGACAGTCAAATGACAGTAAAAACTGCTGAACTGTCTTTGCATCCCGGCCTATATCTTTGCTCCTGCTGTCAGCTTTACACTTGTTAGTGACTTGCTTTATCTAAATTCATGAATCCATGTAGCAACACTAAATTTCCTAACAGAACCAATTGTTACACCATTCCAGTCTCTCCATCAGCCTCTTTACATCCAGTGTTTGGGTCATTATTCTTCTTAGCAGGAGGGAGACAGAGTGGCAGGCATGACTCTGTTGCAGTGAAAGGCTGATTTCTCCCCGTATGCCTGTGACTTTCCTCTTGCCCCAATGGAGGCAATCAGTAATATCTACCAAGCGAGGCAGTCTCCCAAGAAGGAGAGCATTGCGGATCCTTCCCCCAGAGCTCCCAATTGGAGCTTAGTCTCTTTGTCATACCTATATTTCCCCCCCTGTTATTATGATGAAAGATATAAAATAAATGCAGTACAAATTACTATACTTTAAAAATTGGAAAATAAAAAATTATATTAAAATATTAATAGGACAACTTACTAGGCCATAGAAGGTAATATAAATGCTGCCATTATTCACTAAGGATCGTTACTAATCCAGTTTATCCTAAGGCTTCATCATCTGTCAATGTAAGAAAAATGTAAGAACAAAAACTCATTAATAAGCAGTGATATAAAGTATGAACTTTATTCACTGCAACATTTACAACATTGAGGAGGAGGCATAAGCGTGAACATCATCATGGGATTTCTTGCTCCAAAAAGATGTAGAAAAAAATGACAACTAACTATTCAACAAATTTATATATCTGTGGTACAGTTCCATAAGGCAGCTTTGACAATGCCTCAGTAGTTCAAATTCTTTTCACCCAGGCTAAGATGGAAGGCACCCTCTTTTTCTAGTAAGAAGCAATTGTGACTTTATGAACAGCTCACAAATTCATTAAGCGTTCCAAATCTTAATGATAATTTAATTAATACAACAGTCAAAGCCCACAGTAAAATCATATTGGGTTTAGAGGGCAATTTGGGTTAGTCTGTAATTTCCTTCATTCTTTTCAATATTCCTTTTCAAAGTGCTTTATTACAGGACAGGTCTAAATAACATGTGGAGTCTCATGCACTGATGTATAAATATGGCTTAGTTTGCATGGTCAAATATCTCTAAAACTGAAACTTGTATAACTTTCCCCTCAGATCAGATTGCCTGAGATTCAGTTAGAGGTAGTCTTTAGCTAAATTTGGTTCCAGTCTTCTGGTATTTTATATCCCAAGTCTTTCTCCCTGTTGCTTTTGTTTGTTTGTTTTTTTGAAAACGACATTGAATGTCTTTAGAGATTTACAAATAATGGGTTGGATTCAGACTAAATTGGCAATTTCCACAGCAGAGCCCCCTCATGTCATTCTTCAGCATTCCCTATCCCTCAGGAACAGCATTTCATGGAAGCAGGAAAATTCCATTCAGCCATTGAAAAATTTAGTCTGGATCCAATCCAGTGTGCTTACACAGCTTCTTAATTTTTAGTTATTAGTATCCACAAAAGGTTCAATCAGAGATTCCTTTCTTAATGAACCAGATTTCCTCTGAAGGGGTGTAACAATGTGTCACATTTGAGATTATTGAAATAATGGCGGTTTTAAGCCTTCCATATTTAACATAGCCTCTTCACATGATAAAATGCTGCCATCCATTGTTAATTTTCCAAAAACATTTAATCCATATTATTGTCAGACTCCCATCGCATCAACGAAGTACACACTTGTAGGAAAGGTTTTACTTTATTTGAAGCAATAGGTGCATAACAGGATAACTGTTCAGAATGAGGCATAAGCATGGATCCCAATAGATTATAGGAAATTCAAAAAGCTGAGGCCCAATTGCGGGACTTCCCGTGCGCGCCATTGAGCCTGAAGAGCAACGCTCCTACTTAATCACACACTTGATCTTAGCCAAAAGGCCGAGTACCATGAGATCACCCAAGCTACTACCTGCCAGCAACCACACGTAGCCTTGAGAGATATGGACGTTCCTGCAACTAGGCGATTAAGCGCATAAACAGGCATACATGGGAAAGCGAAAGCGAACAAGCGCATAGAGAGAGAATAGGAAAACACATTGGCAGCTTGCTGACAATTATAAAACGACATTGAATGTCTTTAGAGATTTACAAATAATGGTTTGGATTCAGACTAAATTGGCAATTTCCACAGCAGAGCCCCCTCATGTCATTCTTCAGCATTCCCTATCCCTCAGGAACAGCATTTCATGGAAGCAGGAAAATTCCATTCAGCCATTGAAAAATTTAGTCTGGATCCAATCCAGTGTGCTTGCACAGCTTCTTAATTTTTAGTTATTAGTATCCACAAAAGGTTCAATCAGAGATTCCTTTCTTAATGAACCAGATTTCCTCTGAAGGGGTGTAACAATGTGTCACATTTGAGATTATTGAAATAATGGCGGTTTTAAGCCTTCCATATTTAACATAGCCTCTTCACATGATAAAATGCTGCCATCCATTGTTAATTTCCCAAAAACATTTAATCCATATTATTTCCATATTCAACATCAGCCAGTGAAGTTGTTTCTAACTTAAACTGTCTATTATAGAAGACTGAGAATCTCCACATTCAGAGGCAGTAAACCTATGAATACCAATGCCAGGAGACAACCTCAAGTCTTGGCCTCCAGGCCCTGTTGCTGGCCGTCTAGAATAACTGGTTGGTCACAGTGTGACAGGATGCTGACTCTTCTGGGTTCTTATGAGATCTCAAGAGTTAAAGCAGGACTCAGCATTGGTTTACATTTGCACTGTATCATTCATGACTACTATATTACTGACTATTGTAGATAATGTACTAGATGTATACTTCTAATCTGTTGACACCACAAAATATCCTTCAGAGTCCTTTAAAGAAACTAATCTAGTTGCTTAATACCTACTTGAATTTGCCTCCTCAAGTTCCTCCTTGTCTTTTAGCTTATACAAAGCTTCAGCGATAATTGTTGCAGGTTATAAAAAGTAAACTTCAAAAGTGATTTTTCCACAAGTTCAGTATAGCTAGTGTGACATCCAACAAGCCGTTTGTGAATAAGATCAGAATCTTTTGGAGGATATTCATTTTTACTGCGGCAATCCTTCTCTACAGTGAGAATTTCAGAAATGGCCATTCAATATTAACTGACTTCGTTCACCCTTTATCAAATGCTGAAGATTCATCCCCATCCATTCAGGTGTCTTAACATTTATTTTGTACCCTGAAACAAATGCTCTGCTTCTGTATGGCTTGTGGGTGGTAGGTAATATAGGTTGACTGACTGAAACAAATGCAAAACAGTGTACTTTCCCCCTCTTTTTTAATTTAAGAAGTGGCTCCTTTGCGTTCATACCTGCATTTAAACCCAGCCCATTGTCTTTGCAGGTGGGAGCTCACAGCAATGACAACAAACAGCAACATCAGCCGGCCTATCTTCTCCTCCCACGGATAATCTGGGCTCCTCTGCTCCCTCTCCCAGCTGCCCTCTCAAACCTTGCCTTGCAGATGTCATCTTCTGTCTCCCTTGCCGTGCATGAATGTTTAGCCTCTTCAGGAAACTCATCAAAAGGGATTGATGCACTGCCCAGCACAAGGAAGGCTCCACTTGCCTGTCCTGTTGCTGCATCTGTCCAACTTATAACTTTGCCAGGACCTTGGCCTAAAGGTAGCGTGCAAACAGAATCGGATGTCACACTCCACGGAGAAGAAAGACGGGTGTGTTTTTACTCTTGCTGCTGGAAGCTACGGCTTGACATCGATGTACTGCTGTAGTACAATTTGAATGAATAGCAACAAAAGGAAAGGGGAAAATATCTCAGGACTAACTGGCGTAAGACCAGGGCATGCTTCATAGGCTATAGGATTAAAGACAAAAACTGTTCAAGGCTCAGCTACTCCACATCCCCAGCCATTTTGAGTACCTGGCCCTTCTCCATTAAACCAAGGGATGAACTGGGTGCCTGAAGCCATTATGTCTGCACAGAGAAGCATGCCTGGTCTTACACATTTCAGAGCTTGACTGGGTTTGCCTCTCCCAGTGGTATTCAGAGGAACTTCCTATGATACTCAAGCACTCAGTGCTGCTCCATAGTATGGATTTCTGCATGGTCAGAGTCTTCACTGGGTGAAGAAAGGAGATGATGACTCTGGCTAGGCAGTGAGTGAAGAACCAACATTGTATAAGACTGAGTAGAATGGAGACTTTTCTGTGCCTGTTGCAGGAGGGGTCAGTGCAGGACCTGAAATGCTGCTGCCGAGTTTGATGTGTAAAAGCAGCAGCTTTGGATTTATAAACAGTCCTGGAGGAAAAAGCCAAACTGGTGGTTGTGTGTGTCGGTGCTTTTCATAACTGGAGGAGGGGCGAGTGGGGGACCTATGTGGGAGCTGTGGGCACACAGGCAGGAGTCCACAATACAGAATTGGTATGGTATAATGGGGTTAGCCAGGTGGTTCTCAGTTAAAATCTTGCTTTGTTCTTGGATTTGGTTGGCAGGCCACTATTTCTAACCTCAGTCCACATCTGTAACATGGGGACAATACTTTCCTGACTTATAGGGAGGATGTTGTAAAGACTACAAAACTGCTGGATATATGATTAAGTAAATGCTTAGTATTACTAAATCAGGCTTTATGGTTAATCTTATTTTATAAGATTTTCTGCTAGCCAGGATAATCAGGAGCCTTAAATTTACCTACCTCAGATTTGGGGTGGAAAATGAAAAGCTGATGATTTTGCTTCTGGTTTGATTTATCACTCTGTTTTCTCATTCCCTTCTGCATTCATGATAGCTTGATGCCTGCTTTTACACACTGAAAGCTTAGTGTTGCTCCAAGATTTGAAAAACAACCCATGGTTAGCAAAAAGCATCAGGAGTGGGGGGAGGGCAGATCATTGTACTGCTTGCTTTTTCTGTATACAGAGCAACTCCAGAAAAACCCGATGTAATTAGCAACACAGTAAAATGATGGGTGTGTGTCTATGTATGCATAGGTATGTAAGGAAAAGAAAGTGGGATGGATCCTACCCTTTTCCTATCACTCCACTGACCAAACTTTGAAGCTTTCCTCCAATTTAAACAGCGTTTCCTCCAACAGAAGAACCACTGAAGTCGGAGAAAGAATGGATCCATGCCAGGGTGTGTTCCGAAACTATGAAGAACAGTACAGGAACCATGGCTGTGGGACAAATTTGACCTAAACCAAGTGTGTCTCCAAACTGGACCTAAACCAAGTGCTGTTTCCCATGTTTTCCATCTTGGCAAAGTCACCTAGACAGCAGTCTTAACCAGCAATCCTACTCAGAATCCTTTGTGTGTGTAAAGTGCCATCAAGTTGCAACCGACTTATGGTGACCTCACAGGGATTTCAAGGCAAGTGATTAAGCAGAGGTGGATTGCCATTGCCTTCCTCTGAAAAGTCTTCCTTGGTGGTCTCCCATCAAAGTACTGATCCTGCTTAGCTTCCAGGATCTGATGAGATCAGGCTATACTACACCGTTCTACATCCCCAACTCAGCATCCGACTTGGGTCTATTAAATAAGGTCTACTTCCAGGAAAATGTTCTTAGGATTGCAGTGTTCGTGTTAGTTCACATGTGTTCCTCAGCCAACGCAGAACAGGCATTGCAGGTAGAACTTTTGTAATATCTTCACATTATCTTAAACCATGGCACTTTTTAACAAAGTCGGTTCATATGTTCAGGCTGCCATTGGTCAAGGGTAATGTGCATTTGTGAACTTAGGTGTATTTCACATTGTTTGGTAGAAAGAAGGCTGTCCGAGCCACCTCTTTTTCTGCTTTTGCGTCTTTTGTTTTTCTTGATACACACTTTATTCTTGGATGAGTTTGGGCTGAAAGATTTTGCAGGATTCATGAATGCCAGCGCTTACTTTTTAATCTTATTGTGGATCAGCCCTAAGCAATCTGTTCAGTTCCTAGTTCAGTTAAAAAAGGTTTCTGCACTGGACTATGTCTCTGCAGAGTGAGGCAGGATGCGTATCACCCTTGGTCTTTTGCACGAGTGGCATTGCCTTCCAAAAGGCAGCAAAGAACACAGCTCTGAAGGGGGTTCGTGATTCAGCTGGTGGGGCTCTGTGAACTGACCTGAGGGTCCCGACCAGTGAGCTGGAGATTACTACGTTAAGCAACTCTGAGGTGTTTAATCATCTTCTTTGCCAAGAAGGCTGGAACTACTCCAGTGTACACTCACCTGCTCAGTCCAGTATCACACCCTTAAGTCATGCTCAGATTTAGTCACTGGCAAGAATTCACTTAGTGCCATAAAGAACCAACGGGCTGTGTTTGGGTTCAGTATCATACCATCATCTGTCATTCTTCACTAGCACCTGTGGTAGCGTTGTATTTTACCTATCCATTCCAGTTGCCAACAGCAAACAGACAAGATTCATCCGCTTCTCAGTGCCACTGTGCTTACAGCTGAAAATGGAGCTGGGGGATCAGAAAAGTAAAATGTGTTTGTTGCAAAATATTGGCTTAAGCCCCACCTTATAGTTCTGCACAGGGAGACAGGGGCAATTCTCACCAGTTCCCACCTCCCATGACTAGACATCTGACTCTCCTGCATTTTGGGCTGCTGCTGGAGGGGAGAGATGGGGAAGTTACACTCCAAGGATGGAAATTCTTCTGTCTGTGGAAATTTTAGGGGGTCCAACCCAATGGCTAGCTTTTACAACCTCAGACTCATTTCAGACTTTCTGTTTGTCAATTTAAAGCTTGTTGTGATTCAGAGTAATAATTCTGAAGCCAGATGGATAGGCCTTTTAAGATGATTCCTAATTATATATGAATTTACTGCCACTTGCTGTGCACAAACGCCTGTTTTTGAAAGGGAAGGCAGGCTTTCTAATTAAACCTTTTCAGTGTCTTGACTATGATTATTTCATGAGTTATGGCTTCTTATCTCCAATGTTTTGTTGTCACAGCTGTATCTATGCTATATGCCTGTACTAGTATAGGTCCTAACCTTTTCTGCTTGTAGAAAGTACATTTGCCTATAGGAATGGGGGCGGGGGGGGCTACTTTTTGCAATTCTCCTCTTCCACTTCAGACCCCCCCCCCCTGGGCATGCTGTTACTAGGGGGGCATGAGGAAAGACAAGGAGCCTGCAGCAGCAGAAGCAAGGTGAGAATTTTCTTTCAGGTAGTGCAAGTTCCCTTGTGCTTGATAGGATCTACCCCACTGTTTTTCATCATTCTCTCTCTCCAGGAAATCCTAGGAAGTAGGGTTTTTGTGAAAGGGATTTGAAATTTGTAGCAGAATCTTCAGCTTCTTCACCAAACTGCTTCCATTGCTTTTGTGTGGATAGGCTTAGCAAGTAAAATGGTATGGAACGGATATATTAGTAATGCTGGAACATTGAACAGAGCCTGTCATAGAAAGGGAGGGGCTTGTGGCTCAGTGGTAGACCATCTGTCTGGCATGCAGAAGGTCCCAGGTACAATCGCCAGGAAAAAGGATGAGGTAGTAGGTGATGTGAAAGACGTCTGTCCTGAGACCCTGGACAGCTGCTACCAGTCTGTAGACACTACTGACCTTGATGAACCAATAGTCTACTTCAGTGTAAGGCAGCCTCATATGTTCAGATTGGCTTTTCCTACCTTGCAAAGATAGGCAAGGGCCAGGATGGAGTTTCAGCTCCTCTTTATCCACATGAGCACATGAAGCTACTTTATACGGAATCAAGAGTCTTGATCTATCAAAATCAGTACTGTCTACTTAGAATGGCAGCCACTCTCCAAACTCTGAGGGACAGCCCCAACCCCACCACTACTAGATGGTAGCAACTGCTTAGACTTACCCTCACTTTTTAACCTGTTCCAGCTAGTGACGCTTTCTGCTACTAGTCAGTGCAAGGGCTGGCAGCTGGATGGCTGATTACACATACCTTATTAACAAGCGATTTTTGATCTTTATTGATACTTGACATGTGGTGCTCCTCTCTCAGATCAGTGTTTTCTGCTATGAAATCTACCTCTAGTGCAAAGGAGTACCTTTTCCTCCACTGATACTTATTTTTTAAATGTCTCTGATAATTTACCAAAAGAACTGCCCCCCATGGCAATTTGTCATGAAAGAAATAAAACAAATACAATAAAACACTTCATGGAACCTCAAGAAAAGTCTTCAGTAACAGTATTAAAAAAAACAGCTGCTTTAAAAATAGAGTATTCGTGTGTCTTCTACAGTGGAGATAGTTGTTTAAGGAAGTGGGGGGGAGCCGAAAGGGGCTTGAGAAAGGTGCCTTTTCTCCCTGGGCTGTAGCTTGCATGATATAAGGAATACTTTGTGCTTAGATCGTCTACCAGAGTGCTCCACAAACGCCCGGGAGACTCCCAACCAGGCTATTTCCTTGAAACTTCATAGAGGTGAAGACTAACTTGGTAGTCATATACTTTTCCCAAGGCCTGAGGCAGATGGACTTTCTAGGAACTACTGCGGCACCTCTGGATTGGCTCACCAAACAGGGAACATTAGTAGCACTGTTATTTAGTCAGAGTGTGGTTCAGCATCCAGACAAATGGGCGTGTGAACAGGGGAAAGGAAGGAGGTATTTGCTGGCTGTAGAGCTGATCTATAAGGCAACTGATAACTCACCTGATACTTTTTCCACTCCCAGGACACCTGGGAAGAGAGGATAAAGCTGTGAGTCTGACAGTGACAACAGCCCATTTGCAACTAGCATCCTTCTCTTTCTACTTAGTAAATTAAGCCCCGCCAACCAGAACCATCGGAGGGGCAGACCAGGAAGAACCTGTGCTTGTGGAGGCAGGAGAAAGGAAGTGGGATGTGCCCCTTAGGCCAGGTCTGGCTAGTTCATTCTTCAAAGTGAACCTGCTTCCTAATGGACAACATTCCTTGTTCTGGTTCTCTGCCTGCTAAAGGGAATACTAAAACCCTGATTGCTCCATAGAGGAGACCTTGTCTGCCCCTATCAGTGGTATTTTGGTCTTGGAACCTCCCCAATTCAGATCACTGGGTCAGAAGAACCCAGTCTGTCTCAGATATTCCCTGTAGAATTGGAGAGTAGTTCAAGATACTCCCACCCTCCTCCTCCTCAAATACAGGGAGATGCATTCTTATGCATATAAAGGCTCTCCACGTTTGGGCCATGAAGCCTGTCCCTCTTGACCAAGGACAGCAGGATGTAATTCATCTTTTTCTTGAACTACAGAAAAATACAGATGTCAGAGCCATTCTCAACCTTCTGAAGGTCAATAGGTACTTCAAGGTAAGACACTTCAAGACAGAAGCCTTCTCATCCATTATAGCAGCACTTCCCCTGGGAGATTCATTTATTTTTATTATTTTATTCATTTACATTATTTATAGTCTGCCTTTCTAAATGAGACTCAAGGCAGATTACAGGGTGTAAGTCAATACAATTAACAGCATGGGACATCCAATAAACAGTGCAGTAGGATTTGGACTGCAGAAATCTGGAACCGAAATCTGAACAGAGCTAAAATAAAGCATAAGCATTAATATGACACATTATACAATGCAGAAATGACATAGTAGGATCCTACTTACAGCAAGAGTACAAACTGTGCACAGTAGCATGGCACACAGTTTGGTGTAGTGGTTAAGTGCAAGGACTCTAATCTGGGAGAACCGGGTTTGATTCCCCACTCCTCCACTTGCACCTGCTGGATGACCTTGGGCAAGCCATAGTTCTGAAAAGAGCTGTCCTTGAAAAAGAGCAGTTTCTGTCAGAGCTCTCTCAGCCCCACCTACCTCACAGGGTGTCTGTTGTGGGGAGGGGAAGGGAAAGGAGTTTGTAAACCGCTCTGAGACTCCTTTGGGTAGTGAAGGGCGGGGAATAAATCCAATCTCTTCCTCTTCTTCACAGTCAATAGTTCCTTTACCAAAGTATGCTCCTGAATCATTTTGTTATAGTATAGCCCTTGATCTACCTGTCCTGATCAAGACCAAGCCATGCAAATTTCTCAAGCTCGCTTATTGCATCTGGCCCCACTGTGTGCTGACAGACCTGTCTCACAACACATTAGTCTGGGCTGCTTCCTGGGGTGAGGCCCACTCAAACACAGAGCTGAATATTGTCTCTCTTTTGGGCCATGTTTGTGGTCATAAGAGCCACCTAATTTCAGCTTGCCAGCAACAACATGTAAGCAATGCTCCCTCTAAGCTGTGGAGTCTTGTGAGCAAAAATTCTGCTTTGTGAGCTACTGGCATTAAAGCTGTGAGTGAGGAATTTGGCTACTGCATAAATTAGTTTGCTCTGGAGCTATCCTTCCTGAGCTAAGACAAAAACGTGTGAGCTGGAGGCTAAAGAACTGTGAGCTAGCTCACACGAACTCAGCTTAGAGGGAACACTGCATGTAAGCATAGT